GGGCTCTGGCTGTTTCCCTGTCCTGCCTCTTCTTCCAGGTCCCCAGTGCCAACCATCAGCCCCTACGCTGTCCCACCTGCCCCTGCAAGGGGCTGACCCTCCGGGAGGGAGCACCCCTCTCTGCTTTCAAAAGGCCAGTCAGGGTCTGTCAGTCCTGGCGGGTGCGGGATGCCACCGGGATCCCGTCCCTTCTGGCCCCTGCTGAGACTAGCAGAGCTTCTTCCTGTCATCGTCCCAGTCACAGGGACCTCCAGGTGTGTGTCCCTGGGGGTACCTGTGAGGCAGACCAAGGAGGTGCAGGCCCCCATGCCTGCCCTGAAGCCTCCGGCCCATCTTACAGCCCAGGAGCCCCCGAGACACCAGCGTTCTGGGAAAAAGAGCGCATCTCCCGACTCTGAAAGCACCATTTCCCCATCAGTTGGAGGAAGCCTTCACTGTCGTCTGGCAGTGTGGGGACACTGGCCCCTGGGAAAGTCCCTTCCCCGGGGGCACTGCGGAGCTCTCTTGGTTGCTCCCCTACTCCTCCACCCCTGTTTACTCCTCTGGCACCAAAGCCTGACTCTGGGCCCCAGGGGCCCGAGGGCTCTGGACGACTGTCAGCAGTTGTCAACACAGAGGAGGAACCCAGCCTTGGGCTGCCGGCGCTGGGGTTTCTCCACATCCCAGGCCTCTCTGCGGGGCTTCTGCCTAGGGTACCCACCCCCCGCCCAGTGTGGGATCAGGCCTGAGCCACCCCCGTCCCCCGCAGCTATTCAAACTCCAAACAGTCCAAAACGCAGAGTCCCAGGGACCAGGCAGGCTTCGGGGATCCACACCCCCAACTCTGAGGGTGAACACACTCACTCATCTGGACAGTGGGGGTGGGGCTGGCACCACCCCAGTTCCTGCAGCTGAGACCTGGGGGGGGCTGCGTTTGCAGGGGAGAGTTGGGGGCTTTTCCTTACTGAACAGCCAGACTGTACAGCCCAGGATAATCCTGGGGGGGTGACAGGTGAAATGGAGTGACGGGGGGGGGTGTCCCTGGAGACTAGGGGACTAGCGGTAGGCCAGGGGGCACGGGGGGTGGAGGGGACTGGGTGAAGATGGAGAAGTTTCTGAGAAGCATCAGCTCCCTGCCCTGCACGGGAGGGAAAGGGATTCCAGGACCTGGGTACCAAGTGCTGAGAACCCCCTAAACCAAGCTTCTCACACTTCCAGTGACCACAGCACTTGGTACCCAGGTCCCCCCCACTGTCCAGAGCTGTGGGTCCTGCTGGGTGATGCCTTGCTCCTAAAACTCGAAGCTCCTGCTGGGGTGTCCAACCCCCACATCCAATAACTTGGGTGCCCGGGCATAGAGGGTGGCGGACCCAGGCCCAGCGGGTTGGTGGGGGACCTTAAGGTGGAGCGTGCAGGGCAGTGGGCATGGGGCAGCGGGTACTGGGCTCCAGGTAGAGGACTCTGGGCGGGAACAGCGGGTGCAGGATGTGGGACAGAGGACATAGGGGGGCAGGAGCCAGGGTGGGGGTGGAGGGGCGCTGGGTGGCGGGCGCCACGTGAGGGTCAGAGGGGGCCGGGATGGGGCGCAGGGCGGGGGCTCCGAGAGCGGGGCGGGCGCGGGACAGAGGGCTCAGAGCGATAGGCGCTGGGCGCGAGGCGGGGGGCGCGGGGCAGTGGGAGCAGAGCAGGGAAGCGGGACAATGGGCGCAGGGCAGAGGGTGCGAGCGGGGGCGGGGGGGTGGCACGGGGCTGCGGGGCAGAGGGCGGCGGGCGCGGGGCTGGGGCGGGGGTCTTAGGGCTTGGGCGCGGGGCAGAGGGCGCGGGGTGTGGGGGCGGCGGGCAGAAGGCGCGAGCGGGGCGGGGGGGGCACGGGGCTGCGGGACGGGGGGGGCGTGGGGAGGCGGGCGCGGGGTTGGGGCGGGGGTCTTCGGGCTTGGGCGCGGGGCAGAGGGCGCGGGGCGTGGGGGCGGCGGGCAGAGGGCGCGGGGCGGGGGGCGGGGGCGCGGGGCTGGGGCGGGGGTCTTAGGGCTTGGGCTTGGGCGCGGGGCAGAGGGCGCGGGGCGTGGGGGCGGCGGGCAGAGGGCGCGGGGCGGGGGATGCGGGGCGGCGGGCGGCGGGCGGCGGGCAGAGGGCGCGGGCGCCGGCGCGGGCGCGGGGCGCGGCGGGCGGGGGTCCGGCGGCCGCGCGTCCCCCGGAACTCGGCCGTGCCATTCCCATGATGCCCAGCCACGGGCACGGCTTCCGGAGCGCGGCGGCCGCCAGCGCCGGGTAGGTCGGAGGGGGCGGCCCCGCCCGCGCCCCGCCCTCCCGCGCCCGCCCCGCCCCGCCCCGCGCGGGGACCCCGCCGCCCCCCGCCCGCCCGCGCCTCCCGGGGGACCCGCGCGCGGGGCGGGGCGGCGGCCAGGGGGGCCCGGGCGGCCGCGGGGCCGAGGTGAGCGCGCGGGGCGGCGGCGCGGGGCCGGGGGGCGGCGGCCGCTCGGGCCTGGACCCGGGGCGCTGGCGGGGCGCCGGGCCGGGCGGGGCGCGCGGGGGGCGCGGGCCGCGGCGGCGGGGCCAGGTGAGCGCAGGTGAGGGCCGCGGCGGCCCCGCTTCCGGCAGGGGCCGGGCGCTGGGGGTGCCCGCGGCCCCTGCCCGCAGCCCGGTACCGCTGCGCAGCGGCGCAGACCCGCCCGAGGCCCCACCTGGCCCGCGCGAGGCGCTGCCCTGCCCCGGCCCCGCCGCCGCGGCCGAGCTGTGTCCGAGATCATGGCCAGGTCAGCGTGAAGGCCACGGACAGCCTCCCTCAGAGACCCCCAGTCGGGACCTGGTGGCCGGCCTTCTAACAGGGCAGGAGGGCCCCCTGGACATGTGATAAAGCGCTCGCCAGATGGTCCCCGGCCCTGCCAGCAGTGACCCCTGAGAACCCCGGGGCCCCCTCCACAAACAACAAGAGACAGGCTGGGGGGTACTTGGGGCATCCTGTGTGATTTGGCGGCAGAGCCGAGCAGGGATCGCTGGGCACCCCGCGGAGAGGGCCGGCTGACTCAGATTCAGCGCCAGCTGACTCTGAGGTCTGGCACGGGGAGCCCCACAGTCCCCCGGGGGTGCGGCGGGCGCGTGCTGACAGCCAGAGCTCCGGGCCCGCTCCTGCGTTGGCTCCTGGTTGTCAGGGAGTTTTCCTGGCTGCCGGGTACTCGGAGTGGGCGGGAACTCGCCACTGAGGGTTCCCCGCTGGGTCAACCCTGCCCGGTCCCTCCCCAGCCCGCTGCCTCCTGCAGGCAGCGGGAACCACCTTAGCACCTCTGTGCGGGGAAGAGCATGCACAAGCTGCTCGCAGTTTGTGGGTGCCAGGCAGGCACTGGGTGCTCAATATGTGGCCTTCTTTGGAGTCTGAGGCTGAGATTCCTTTAGTTTCGGTTTGCTTGGGGCCACACCCAGCAGTGCTCAGGGGTCACTCCCAGTGGTGCTGGGCAGAGAGCCCCCAGGTCAGTGTCCAGTGCCTGCTGCTGTCCTGTCGCGCTGGGACGGGCTGGAGTTGGCCTGTGGGCATCTGCTTTCTGAGGCAGCGCTGTGAGCACGGCAGTCATAGTGGGGGCAGGGTCTCCAGTAGGAAGGGGTCCCCACACCTCAGCTCTGGCCACTGCCAGGGTCAAGACTCAGGCTCCCTCCATGTCGCCAGGTGGAGGACACTCTCCCAGTGAGCCGTCAGCGTGGCAGCAGGGACAGGCCTCCTGCATCTCCTCGAGCCCCGAGGCCAGCGCTGCCTCTCTCCCCAGGTGCAGGAGGGGCTGGCTCCAGCAGCTGCCGTCCCGCGGGGCAAGAGGCCGCCTCCCGCCTCCAGGTTGCAGAGACGTCCAGGTAACCCTTCACACTGGGCTGGGACTCTGGGGGTTGACATCGGTCTGGCCTCAGTGCTGCTGCGGTGCAGGGAGGACGGGTGCGGGGCTGTGGGGTGCAGGGAGGTTGGGATTCAGGGCTGTGGGGTGCAGGGAGGTCAGATGTGGAGTGTAGGGAGGTCAGGCACTGTGGGACGCAGGGAGGTTGGGGTGTGGGGCTGTGGGGTGCAGGGACGTCGGGTGCGGGGCTGTGTGGTGAGGTGCTGTGGGGACCGAGGCTTTGGGGTACAGGGTTCGTGTGCAGGGTCGTGCCCCTGTCACAGCCGGGTTCCCACTCCCTGGCGTGTGGTGATGCTCCTTTTCCTCTCGGCCACTTTTTGTCCCCATGCAGGGCAGGGCCGGTCAGAACCGAGTACCGGGCCAGGAGGGATCTGTCCTCGGGTCTTCCTGAGTGGTCATCAGTGTCCTGCCCAGACTGTGGGGAGGAGGCTGTTTGCAGAGTCTGCTCCCGGGGTCCTGGGGACAGCTCCGCCGACACAGCCACTCTTGCCAGACGTGGGGCAAGGAGGCCGAGCCCGCAGATCCCGGCCAAGGAGCCTCCAACCGTGTTTTGTTTTGTGTTGTTTTGTTTTGGGGGCCACACCCGATGGTGCTCCGTACTTTCTCCTGGCTCTGCACGCGGGAACTACTCCTGGCGGTGCTCGGGGGACCCTATGGGGTGCCGGGGATTGAACCCCGGTCGGCTGCGTGCGAGGCAAGCGCCCTCCCCACTGTGCTGTTGCTCGGGCCGGCCTCTGACCATTTTAAGGAAGAGGGCTTGCTTGAACCTCGGCGAGTCTTGAGCTATCTAAGTGAGGGGCGGCCCTGGGATGTCAGGGAGAACAGGCCTGGTGTGATGGGGGCCACAGGCTGGCACATGCGGTCCCTCTAGGACCCTTTGAGGTGGTTCTGATGCCCCCAACAATAAAAACCAAGAGCAGGGACCAGAGTGATAGCACAGTGGGGAGGGCATTTGCCTTGCACACAGCTGACCTGGGTTCAATCCCCGACACCCCATAGCACCCCCTGAGCACCAACAGGAGTGATTCCTGAGTATAGAGCCAGGTGTGTCCCCCTGTCCCTGCAGAAAACCCAAAAAACTCAAGAGCAAAGGTGTTGGTCGGCCTGGGGAGTCGCGCCTGCCACGCGCTGTCCTGTGTGTTTCAGGAGCTGCTCATTGCCGGCATGGGCTGCCGGGGGCTCCTGCCGGGCCCACAGCTAGGGACTTCCGCGGCAGGGCCAAGCTGGCACCTTGGGACCCCCTGATGAGGTGAGTGAGCCCTGGGGAGCCTTGGGAGGGAGGGCAGAGACACTGGCCCATGCTGCCGCGCATGTGGCCGGCGGCTGGAGCAAGGACCCCAAGCCCAGAACATGGGCCACGCGTGGCTCTGGGGAAGGGCCGCCCTGCCCTGGCCAGCAGCCGTGCCCATACGCCCTCTCTCCCCCAGGGTGTGAAGCAGCAGAACTCGCCAGCACCGCCTGCCCGCCCGCGCCTCCTCGCCTGCTAGAATGTTCCTCATGAACGCCCCCCCTGTGCTCGCTCTGCAGTCCAGATGGGAGGCCTTCCGCCCGCCCGGGGGCTGTAGGGCTCCTGGCTGCTTCTCGGGGCCTGCGGGGAGTGTGGGGGACGCCGCGGTGAGTGCGGGGGTGCAGATGCTCATCCGCACACTGCGCCGAGGTGACCCAGCGGCCCTGGGCGCCAGCCCTGAGCGCGGCCCACAGAGACGCCAGGGGCCTGAGCGCCCCGCCCCACCCGCGCCACTGCCACGCAACTCGGTGTCCAGTGCTCCTGCTTCTGCTGACCCCCACCTGGCCGGGGAGGGAGCCACAGACCCGGGCCCCCCCGTGCCAGACTCAGACAGCGACGACTCAGTGGACAGGGGCATTGAAGAGGCCATCCAGGAGTACCTGAGGGCCAGGAGCAGCGGCCCCCGGCCCCCCAGGGCCACACACGCCGACCTCCGCTGCCCCCAGCAGCCCCCACGGGCCGCGTCATGTCCCCCCAGACCGGCCCGCTACCCCAGCGGTGGCCCCCAGAGGGCCTGCGAGCCCCTGGGCTCTGCCTCCCCGGGCAGCGGCAGCAGTGAGGACTCCTTCGAGCAGAGCATCCGCGACGAGATCGAACAGTTCCTGAGTGAGAAGCGGCTGCTGGAGGCCCCCGGAGCAGCCGGCTGCGTGGACAGGCAGGAGGAGTCCGAGGAGCTGGCAGCCCGGCCAGCGCCCAGAGCCCGGAAGGAGCCGGAGCTGACCGCGGCGGCCAAGGAGTTCGTCTTCCGGAAACCCCCCAGGTTTGCCAAGGTACCTGCCCCGCCCAGGAGCCTCAGGTCCAAGGCCACCCCCGAGCCGGGGCTGGGAGGCACCAGGCCCACCACCTGCCGCTCTGCTGAGCCGGCCCAGCCCAAAGGCGGGGTCCGGAGGGCCAGCGGCCCTGGGCGCAGGAGCAGGCGCGGCCCGAGCGCAGTCGTCGTGCAGGAGGCGCCGGACTCCAGCAGTGACGACGGCATCGAGGAGGCCATTCGGCTCTACCAGCTGGAGAAGAGGAGGGGCACCATGCCCGAGAGCCACAGGAAGGCAGCGGCCAGCATAAGGAGGCCGCCGGCTGGGAAAGCCGCAGACCCGGGCCCCATTGCCCCGGATCCCAGCCCGCCTGCCAGGCCGCCCGCAGACCCCAGCAGAGGGGAGGCAGGAGGGCGAGGCCCGTGCCCGGCTGACGCGTCCACGGAGCTGCTGTGCGCTGAGGCCATCCTGGACATCTCCAAAACCATCCTGCCCACCCCCACCGAGGGCAGGGAGCGAGCCCTGGCTGCCGGCCTACCCGGCTCCCCGCCACACGTGCCCTCTGGCTCGGACGGGGCCGGCAGCTCCGTGGACAGCGATGACAGCATCGAGCAGGAGATCCGGACCTTCCTGGCACTGAAGGCGCAGGCAGGCGTGGCGCCGGCCGCAGTGGAAACCAGCCCAGCCCCTGTCCAGGGACCCCCGGGCCAGGCTGGCAGCCTCCGGGCCCCGCTGCCCCGCACCCTGGCCCTGTCACTGAGCCACAAGAGAAGACGCAGAGCAGGTGGACACGTGCCAGCATTGGCCACCCCCAGGGAGATGCCACTGGAGGGGACCCAGGAAGCCAGTGCCCAGCAGGGGAGGGTGAGCGAGACCCCCGCGAGGGAGGGAGAGAGCAGGGCCCACGCCCCACTCCCCAGGACAGGGGGGCTCGGGGGTGAGCTGGAGGCCCCAGACGCACCCCCCAGTGTGTCCCTGGGCTCCGCCAGGGCAGAGGAGAAGGAGAGCTCAGACGACAAGAGCAGCTCGCTGGACAGCGACGAGGACCTGGACACAGCCATCAAGGACCTGCTGCGTTCCAAGCGGAAGCGCAGGAAGGGCTGTGGGGACCCCCGGGCCGCGCCCCCCCTGAAGGTCCGACTCAGCACCGCGCCGAAGGTCCTGTACCAGCTGGAGGGGCTGCAAAGGGCCTGGAGGCACAAAGGCCCGGCGCTGTGGCGACGCTGCTTCCCCAAGCCCAGGGGGTCCCGGGGGATGTCCCGGGAGCCCACCCCCAGCAGTGCACCCCGGAGAAGCCCAGGGGAGGAGGTGGACGCTGAGGGTGGGCCCCCGGGGCTGCTGACCCGGAGAAGCCCAGAGGCGACCCTGTTCTCGGGGCCCCAGGAGCTGCGGCACCCAGCGCCGAGCCCCAGTTCCGCGTCCGAGGAGGACAGCAGCTCCGTGGACAGCGACGACAGCATCGAGCTGGAGATCAGGAAATTCCTGGCCGAGAAGGCCAAGGAGTCCCTGGGGGGGCCCAGCACCCCAGGCACAGGCGGCAGCCCCCGGCCCGAGCCACTCTGCCGAAAGGCCCTGCCTGCCGGCATGTGCACCCGGAGCCAGAGGGGCCGGGGGGCCGCCAGCCCTGCCAGCACCTTCGCTCAGGCCGGCAGGAGCAGCCCTCGGATGGAGCCGGCCCAAAGAGACCTGGCACCCCCCAGGGGCACCAAGGGCTCGCCCGGCGGTCGCAGGCCCTTCTTTGCCCACAGAGACCAGAGCCCCCGCGTGGCCGAGCCTGCGGCTGGGGACGGCACTTTGGGGACACTCGCGGGCTGCGTTGTGGCGGCCATCCCGGCAGAGAGCCCCAGTGCGCGCTGCCCAGGCCTGAGCCCCCTGCGTCCCCTGAGCCGGGGTCTGGCGGTTGACAGGGATGTGGGAGCCCCCGCGGGCCTGGCCCTCCCGTGGGCAGACTTTGCCCAGCAGAGCCGGCTACAGAGCCTGTGGGCCCTGAGCCCCGAGGGCGGTGGGGGGGCCTGGCAGGGGGCTGAGGGCCAGGCCAGGTGCCCGCCCGGCCCAGCTCTGGACGCCAAGAAGGGCCTGGCCCTGGCCGGCTTCTCCCCGCTGCTGCCCACGCAGCTGTTCCACTTCGGGAGGAGTGTCTCCTGGGGGGGCCAGCCCGCTGGCCTCTTCAGCAGCCCCCTGGGCGTGCCCCTGCAGGGACCCTCCTTCTCGGGCTTCCAGGGTGCCCAGGCTGCCCAGGGGCCCGTGTTCGGCAGCTCCCACGTGCTCCTGAAGAGGGACGGGGGATGCTGGCCGCCGGGGAGAGCCCCAGCTGGGCGTGGTGGGCACGACGCCAGGCGCCGGGGCGCGGAGGGGGGCACCGTGGACTCAAGGCGCGGAGGGAGGCCAGCAGCCAGGGAGGAGGACGAGCAGGAGACCCTGGGCAGTGGCGCCAGCGACCTCAGTGACAGCTCCATGGAGGAGGGCACACGCAGCCCGCTGGCGAGGGGCAAAGTGCTGGAGCTCTGAGAGCCCAGGCCACTGGCCCCACGCGGTCCCCAGTCCGGTTTCTGTGACAGGAAGCGTTTTTATTTAACATGTGTGTGCTGGTAAATATGATTTTTGTAGCTTTTTTGTAAATTATTTAAAGTGCTGTACAAAATATTTTTGGGAGATAGAGTCACTGGCTTTTGTAGGACGGTCCCCGCTGCCCCTGCTGTCCATCCTGTGCCAGTCTTGGTGGCAGACCCCGAACTGGCCTGCACAGGGGGTCTCAGGCTGGCAGACGCCCGTAGCCCTGAGCCTCACCCCCCAGGATCCCCGCTGGGCTTTGGGGCTCCCAGCTGGTGCTTCTTCAAGGAGCAGCTTTCCCTGGACACAACCGCACCCCCAGGAAACACATTCCAAAGCACAATGGCTGCGTGCTGGCCCCGGGCAGGGCTGTGGCCCTCAGGCCACCCTGCTGGGTCTCACCCGCCAAGTCTCAGTCGCCTCGTGTGGGTCCTTGTTTGGTTGCCGGGAGGGAAGGGGCGCAGGCTTCTGTGATCTCTGGCCCCCTGCAGTGCCAAAGGCGTCGCTGAATCCCCGGTGGACGGGGCTTTCCACAGCAGTGGCTCCTGCGGCCAGGCCCCCCAGCCGGGGGGGTGGGGGGGCGTCCCCGAGCTTGAGTGTCTCACATGCCGTGCCCACACAGCATCGGGGCCCATCGCGGCCTGTGTGACAGACCCCCGGGGGCCCCTCTGCTGTTCTCTTCTCTCTCTGATGGCGATCTGCCAACAGACCCAAACAAGCTGGCAAGCTGAGGAGGGAAGAACCAGTTTCCGAGGCTAATAAATCAGTTTCTGCTCACGCTCCAGGTGTGTCCTGTCCTCCGCCGGGTGCTCGTGGCTGTGTGGAGCGAAGCGGCACCTGCGACCCGCCGGGTCCCGCCTGCCCCCGCCCCTCCCTCCCCTGGCACCCATCGTGTCACCCTCCCTCCGTCTGCCCGTGCCGTGGCCAGCGGGCCAGGGTGCCCGATGCAGCAGGGCTGGGGTAGGGGCGCGTGGGGGTTCCCCTCTTCCTGCACGACTCAGCCGACCTCAGCCCTCCTCAGGGACCCCCTGGAACCCCGGGGTGGGGGAGCTCCCACACGCAGATGTGCTTGTGTGCACTCTGTCCTCGTTCAGGTGAGGTCCAGCTTCGGGAGTGAGGGAGGGGACACCTGCAGTCCCTGGCAGGAGGCCTGCCCGCTCCACAGTGACGGGGCCCAGGCATGAGCTTGTGAGCTCCCGGGACGCCTGCCCCGGCTCGTGCTGGGGGTGGACGCCCCGGCCTCCTGCCTGGACCTTTCCCTTTTCCTCAGGAATGCCCCACACACACACACATGGCTGACCACAGGCCCCTCAGGCAGCATGTGTGCCCCACCATGTGAGGTTGCTCCAACGGAGTCTTGTTGGGGGAGGGGTTTGGGGTCACACCTAGTGATGCTCCGGGTACTCCTGGCTCTGTGCTCAGGAATGACTCGTGGAAGTGCCCGGGGGCGTAAGATGCCAGGGCTCTCTGGCTGCAGACAAGCCAAAGCATCCCTCACCTTTCCGGGAAGCTGGGGGTCTGCGTGCCCCGAGGAAGACTCTCCCGCATCCCAGATTCTCTGTGGAAGTGCTCCCTTTGCCAGAAGTCCCCACAGAGCAGGAACCGGCCCGGCCCCAGGCTAGGAGAGTCCAGTTGGCTACCTTCTCCCTGGCCGCAGCCCTGTCCCTGCCTTGCTCAGCCCGCATGCTGGGTGGAGGCTGCCAGTCAGAGACTCGGCAGCACTAGCTGCCCCTGATCTACACCAAGAGACACCAAAGCACCCAGGGGCGGAGCTCGGCTCAGCAGGCGGGAGCCGGGACTTACCCCTGCCCGCAGACCCCCGGGCGCCCCAAGCGCCCTGGATAGGACCCCCAAATAAGCAGATAGGGCCAGCGCGCTCCCCTCCCTGAAGTGAGCTTGGTTCTGTTGGGATGGGGCTAAGGGCCGACGCCCCACAGCCCAGGACCAAGGCCAGCCTGGGCTGGCCCCAGGCGCTGTCCACGGGGTCTTTGAGTCTCCTGGTTTTTATGTGCGGGACATAGAGGTTTTGTTTCAAGTCTTGATTTTAAAACCACTTATGACCATCATTAAAAGACTGCTAAAGCAGGCTGGAGCGATAGCACAGCGGCTAGGGCGTTTGCCTTGCACGCGGCCGACCCGGGTTCGATTCCCAGCATCCCATATGGTCCCCCGAGCACCACCAGGAATAATTCCTGAGTGCAGAGGCAGGAGGAATCCCTGAGCATTGCTGGGGGTGACCCAACAAGCCGGGAAAAAAAATCGCTAAAGGGAAAGAGCGGCATGAGAGCCGGTACTTGTACAGGGAGGAGTTTCTGCTTTGGTTTTTTTATTGGGTTCACCCCAGTGGCATTGTGGGGGGCAGTGGGGATAGGGCTTTTCCTGGGGGTGCTGGATGGTCGAGCCAAGTCCCCAGCCTAGAGACAGCAGCTAAATCCAGGGCGACTTGGTGCTGGGAAAGTTTTCTCGGTGTTCCGACTCAGAATGGAATGGAGCGTTGGTGGTGGAGGGCGGCGGGGACGGCAGCTTCCGTGGCCCTGTGGGTCGCTGCCACACCCTGTGTCCACAGTGTCTGCCGTGATCACGTCCAGCCTGTGGGGCTAAGCCCACCAAGCTCTGCAGTGTAACTCGCTCCACAGACACCCACTCTCGGCTAACAGACAGCCCCCTGCCCGGGTCAGCGGGGACTCATGCCAATGTGCAGAAGGTGAGGATTACTCTAAAGGTCAGATACGCTGCCCAGAACATCCCCCTACCCTGGGGCCATCCTCAAGGCAGGATACTGCCCAGGGCCTCTACCCACTTTGGCTGCTAGAAAAAAATGGGATTCAGAATTAAGATATTCCCTGGACATGAGGCTCAGATGAGGTGGCATCAAGGCCCCTTGAAAGCCACAAGGCAGCAGAAAATGGGAGAGTGTGACCTCATGGCAGGCGGTGCCCGAGGGCTGCAGGCAGAACCCGGCCATGGGACCCCGCGCCCCGGGACGACAGGCAGGCTTGTGGGCAAAGATCTATGTCTTCACTGTCCCAGTCTTCCTTGTCCAGCGACGGTGACCCTGCACGGCCGCTTTCCCGGCCACAGCAGGAGTAAGCGCCTGATGAGCGAGCCATGGGACAGTCCCAAGCCAGCCGGGCCCTGGCATCTGTCTGCCCACTAATGGCAGAGCCCCTGGTGGCCCCAGAAGGCGCAGGCAGGAGTGGGTCCTCCTGGGAGCTGCCCACCTGCCAGCCAGGGCGGCTCGGCTGGGCGGTCTGGAAGCTGTCCTGAGGCGCACGTTCTTCCCGACTCTCTTCAAGAAGCCACACTGCAGGGTTCTTAGAATCATGAGTTCAGAGTTTTTTGGTTTTTACTTGTGGGTCACAGCCGGCATGCTCAGGGCTCACTCCTGGCGGGGCTCAGGGGACCACATGGGATGCCAGGAATCAAACCTGGGTCAGCCGTGAGCAAGGCGAGATCCCAGCCTGCTGTACTACTTCTGCACCAGAAGAGCTCAGCGTCCCCACTCCTGGCTGTGCTCAGTGAACCTGAAGTGCTGGGCCGGGATGGGGGACCTGTGGGCCGGGCCGGGGGTGGGGGCTGTGGGTCAGATGGGGGGGGGGCCTGTGTGCCAAGCATGTGCCCAGCCCTCAGAGCGTCTCCAGGGCCTGCTGGGCCATTCTCCACCTGGGGTGATTAAAGACCCTTTAGGCCTGACCCTCCTCCCACCCCCACCCCCCCACCCCCCGGGCTGAAGCAATAGCATATCGGGTAGCGCGTTTGCCTTGCACGCAGCCAACATGGCCGATCCAAGTTCGATTCCTCAGTCCTCTTGGAGAGCCTGGCAAGCTACCGAGAGTATCTCGCCCGCACGGCAAAGCCTGGCAAGCTACTCGTGGCGTATTCGATATGCCAAACACAGTAACAACGAAGTCTCACGATGGAGACATTACTGGGCCCGCTTGAGAAAATCGATGAACAACGGGAGGACAGTGACAGTGACAGTGACAGGCCTGACCCCCCTCAGCTCCCGGCTCCCCAGCTGAGGGAATATGCAGGTAAAAGTGTTCCCCAAAGTTCCCCAAAGCAGGCGGTTCCTGCTGTTCCTGCAGTGTGGGTCTGTTTTGTGGAGGCAGCTGATGGGGCGGGAGGCCAGACGTGCTGGGAACGGCTGGTGGCCAGCTCAGCCGCCCTTCTCTTTATTAATGCTTTCCTTGAAATCCACCTCTGAACTGGACATCCAGCTGGTGCCAAAACGCTGGCTTGTCTGGCTTAATACGATTCCTAAGGAATCAAAGATGGTCGCAGTGTTTTCTTCTGCCCGAGGTTCAACTGTGAGGGGAAGCCTTTCAGGTAAGAATCTTGGTAAACAGGGGCCAGAGCGATAGGACCGCGGGCTGGAAGTCTGCCTTCCACAGCCAATCCAGATTCAATCCCCAACACTGCCCATCTGTACTCCTGCCAGGAGTGAGCCCTGAGCATAGAACCAGGAGTGAGCCCTGAGCATAGAACCGGGAGTGAGCCCTGAGCACAGAACCGGGAGTAAGCCCTGAGCACAGGGCCAGGAGTGAGCCCTGAGCATAGAACCGGGAGTGAGCCCTGAGCACAGAACCGGGTGTAAGCACAGAGCACAGAACCGGGAGTGAGCCCTGAGCACAGGGCCAGGAGTGAGCCCTGAGCACAGAACCGGGTGTAAGCCCAGAGCACAGAACCGGGAGTAAGCCCAGAGCACAGAACCGGGAGTAAGCCCTGAGCACAGAGCCAGGAGCAAGCCCCCGTCTTGGCTCTTGACTGTCTTGACCATTACTGGAACATGCGGAACACCACCGCCAGGCCTGGTCCCTGCATATGCAGGCTGCTGGCCCTCAGTCAGAGCCTCCCATGCCCACATGCAAGGCAAGCGCCCTCCCCTCTGGACTGTCGCTTGGACCTCCAGCTCCTATTTGTTCCTATTTCACGGTCCAGAAGGGGTCATGGGACTTTTTAAATATTTTGTTTAGAATGAATTTCTTTATGATGTATTATCAGTAAATGTTTGACTTGTACACCTTTTTATCCTACAAACACAGGGTCACATAAAGATCTGGGGCTCGGAGGGGTCACGGGTGAGAGTCGGTGAAGCTTGCTCTAAACTCCTCCCTCACAATGGCAGCAGAGAAGACTCCGGATGCAGACATCCCCGGGTCAAGGCCGAGACGTGGGGTCCCCCAAGGCCCTTCTCCACTCATCAATGAGCCAGGGACCCAAGGTGTGACGTTTTTAATGGAAAGACGCCGGCCGCGAGCATCTTTCCTACATCTTGGAGGTGAATGTAAGAGAGTGGACGTCCAGCCCGGGGCCCGTGATTCCAGCGCAGGGAATAAAAGCACTCTGAGGGGAAGGAGGCCGGGACACTGCCTTGACAGGTGGCCTGTAGCAGAGCAGGGGGTGGGGACACTGCCGGGGTCGGCCCTGCCCATCAGCAGCAGAAGGACGGCTTGCTGGCATTGTAACTGGGGTGGAAGTTAAGACGGTCGTCAAAGGTGACAAAGTTGTCGGGACCTGTCACAATGCTCTTCTCCATATAGACGTTCAAAGCGTTGTTCTGGAACATTCCACCAATAGTAAGCTGTGATGAAAACTTTCTCGAACTTGGATAAAATACTTGCTGAAAGAGAAAGGGGTGGCAGGATTAAGGGTACATGAGAACACTTATTTTTTGTTTTTTTGGGAGTCCTACCAGCGGTACTCAGGAACACCCATGTTTCAGGGGTCCTCCCAGCAATGCCCAGGACACCATGTGGTGCCAGGGAGGAAACCCGGGGTTCCCACATGCAAAGCAGCCCTTTGAGCCCGCCTGCTGTGAAAACCCCTGAGCAAGCCATCTGCCGGGGGTCAGTTCTGACTAGAAGAATCCGCCCTGCTATTAGGGGGTGCTGGTACCCCCACCCTCAGCTGGAGAAGCAACAGGGCTTGTAGGAGGGTCTCCTGAGTGTGTGTCAGAGTGTATGAGTGAGTCTGTGTATGTGTGTGTGTGAAGGTGAGGGTGTGAAAGCGTAGCAGTATGTGTATCAATGTGTCAGTGTGTAACGTCTACAAGAGTTAGTGTGTAAGTGTATGAGTGTGCCTGAGTATGTGTGTGAATGTGTCAGTGTGTCAAGTGTATGAGACTGTGTGAGTATAAGAGTGTGTGAGTGTGTGTGTAGTCTATGAATGTGTGTGAGTGTATAAGGGTGAATGTGTTTGTATGAGTGTGACAGTGAGTGTGTTTGTGAATGTGTCAGTGTGTGAAGTGTGTGAGTGCATGAGTGTGTAAGAGTCTATGAGTGTGAGTGTAAGAAGGTGAGTGTGTGTATGAAGGAGAGTGTGTTAGAGTGCATGAGTGTGAGTGTAAGTGAGTGTGTGTATGAGGGTGAATGTGTGTGCGTATATGAGGGTGACTGTGTGTGTTTGTGTATGCTTGTGTGTGTCTATGTATGTGTCTCTGTGTATTAGTGTGTGCGTGTGTGCTTTTGTGTGTGTGTGTGTGTGTCTGGTCCTCCTGCATGCATGGTCCCTGCTCACCCTTTCAGACATCCCGAGCCACATCCTTTGCTCCCCCCTTCCTCCCCACCAGGGGCCTGCCCCACCACCCTGCGCTTACAGGCATCTCGTGCACGGTGGGCGCCTGGCCCCCGTAGGTCTGGTTGCTGGTCCTGTACAGGGCCACGGGCTTCTTGCTCCTGCAAAGAAGAAACACTTGGTGGCCGTCGCTGCCATATCCCGCCAGCCCTGCAGCGTCCGGGCGGCTGTGCTCTGCTGAAGTTCCCCGGGGACCCTGGTGGCCCTGCCGGGTGGCCCAGACTAACAATCCCGCTGGCCCTAGGCCCAGGGCCTGACAGTCCCCCCACCCCCTGCAGAGCAGGGTGGGTGAGCAGGCGGGGCTGGGGCTTGACACCCCCTTCCCCCGTGGACAGGGCACCTGGGCCTGTGGGGCACTTTCTGGCTCTCCTCTGGGCCCACAGCCACAGCTGCCCAGCGGGTAGTGCCACGCGGGTGCTGGGACACGCAGTGGCTCTGGCCTGAAGCCACAGTTTAGAAAGCGGCTCTTAGACACATTTCAGACAAGAGAGTGTGCCAAGTTTAGGAAATGTTGTGGCTTAAACTTTGGACCTTTGTGGAGACGGAGGGATGATACAGTGAGGAGGTGGCACTTGCCTTGCACAAGGCCAACCCAAGGTCCAACCCCTGGCACCCTATAGCACCTCCGGATACCTTCTACTGCCTTGGGAAGCCACTCCCTGGGGACGAGGTGCCAGGCTGGAGGGCAGCCCCCGCGGTGCTCATGTGCGCCCTCTGTCTGGGTGGCACTGAGCGGACCCTGCTGGGGCAGGCTTGGGTTTCTGTGCAGACTCAGCCACAGGATCCTGTATAACTGACTCCTTGTGAATTATACATCCGCTGTGAATCAGCCTCAGTAAAGCACCTGCAGGGACGATCAAGCCTCCGGGTTTGCCCTGGGCAGGCAACACCGCGTGTGGCCTGGGCAGGGCCGCTCCTCACCTGTAGCCTCGGAAGCAGGAGGGGTTGTTGAACCTGGCCGGCAGGTTCTCTGCCACGCGGTAGTAGTCGCTGGTTTTCCCCTGGAGGTTGGTGACACTGGGCTTTGCAAATCCTTGGGGGTTCACCCTGGCGCCTGGTCCCAGTTTCTGGGGGTCTTCCCTGGCCTCTAGTGACACTGGCTTCACACATTCCTGGGGTCTCTCCTCCGACATTTTGCCAACCTCTGGTGGGGCTTCGTGGGAGGAAGAGGTTGGAAGGGAGAGCAGAGGGTTAGAAAGTGCCATCCCCGCAGGGCCACCAGGGTCGGGAGTTGGTCCCGTTGCTAAGCAACGGCCTGGCGGCCAGCCAGGGTGGGGGTGGGGCGCCCTTAAAGGCGCAGTGCCTCCGAGGCCCAGTCCCCCGCAGGGAGTCCAGGCAGTGGGCTTCGACCTTTGCACACCTGCGGACCACCAAATGCAGGGCCAGCGGTCAGAGGGCCGCAACGAATCCGCACAGCGCTAGGCCTGCGATTCTCCACGCAGGATGGAAACGTCGCGCGTGAGGCTGGGAAGGGGAGAGTGACCGACTGAGGCCGGGCGGCTAAGTCCCCTCTGGGCACGCGCGGGGCGCCCTGGGCGGGCGGGCGGGGCTCCCCCAATGCAGGGAGGAGTTTCTGGGCCAATCAACGCCAGGCCCTGGGACTTGGCAAGTGGAAATAAGACTCGCCGCTGGGCAAGCCCTAATTTGAAGCCTACCAAGTATTGGGGGTGCTCCTGCTCCCCCGTAACATCACCCCAATAAACTCCTGGCATGTAAATTGGACTCCTGCTAACTTCATGGGCAACTCCTCACACCCGGAAAACACGAAACCACGCTGGTGAGCGTGAGAGTTAGAACTGGGGGCGAGGGGCTGGAGAGATAGCACAGCGGGTAGGGCGTTTGCCTTGCACGCGGCCGACCAGGGTTCGATTCCCAGCATCCCATAGGGTCCCCTGAGCACCGCCAGGAGTGACTCCTGAGTGCAGAGCCAGGAGTAAACCCTGTGCATTGCCGGGTGTGACCCAAACAGAAAAAAAAAAAAAGAACTGGGGGAGAATCTCCGCCCGCCCGCCTGCCGTCTCGGGTCGGGGTCGGGCCCAGGCGCGGGGGGCGGGGCCTGCGGGGCGGGGCCTGCGAGGGCGGGGCGGGGCCGGGAGCGGCGCGGGCAGGGGCGGGGCCGGGGCCGGGCGGGCGCGCGGTGGCTCCTCCGGGCCGGCAGGCGGCGCTGCGGTGCGGCCGAGCCGGGTTCCGCGTCCGCCATGGCGCCCGGCTCGGCGTGGCCGCGGCTTCTCGGCGCGGGTGAGGCCGGGGGCGCGCGCGGGGCGGGGGGTCCGGGATCGGGGTCGGGGCGGGGGGCGGGCGCGCGCTGACCCGCTCTCTCGGCAGGCGTCCGGCCCGCGGCGCTGCGGCTGCGTCCCCTCCCGGGCCGCGGGACACACGCGGGCGCCGCGACCCCCGCGCTGCACGCGGCCCCGGACGATGACGGTAACGCGCGCGGGGCGTCGGGGGGCCGCGGGCGGGGGGCGCGGGCGGGGGATCCTCGGGAGCGCGGGCAGAGGGCGGACTCCCCGGAGGCGCGGGCAGAGGGGTCCTCCCCGGGGGCGCGGGCAGAGGGGGGACCCCCGGGGGCGGGCCGGGGGCGCTCCCGGTCCCCGCCCGAGCCGCCCGGCGCGCCCCCGCAGCCCCGGGCCTACGGATCCTCCGCGAGCCGCTGCAGCACGCCGACTTCTTCAACGTGAAGGAGCTCTTCTCCGTGCGGAGCCTCTTCGACGCGCGCGTGCACCTGGGCCACAAGGCCGGCTGCAGGCACAGGTGCGAGCCCCCCTCTGCACAGTCCCGGGGCCCAGGGCGTCTTCCTGGCACCCCCTGAGCAAGGGCCGGCCGTGGGGGCACGAGGGTCGGGGACGCCCCAGGGGAGGTAGTGCATGTGACCCAGGTGGGCTGGAGGTGGGGAACCAGCGGTAACGGACACAGCGCCATCCTGCCGGGGTGACCAGCACCCACGGGATGGGGACGCCCCAGGCTTGGGCCCTGCTCCAATGCACATGGGGGAGCAGAAGGGAGGGCCCAGGGGGAAGGACCCCGGACACCCCCGGATTCCAGGGTCCAGAAAAGGTGCCATGGGGAGGAAGACTGCCCATGTTGTGGGTGAGCTGGGGGGGCGGGGGCAGAGAGATGATAGAGCAGGCGGGGTCCTGCAGTCGCCAATTGAAGTTTGATTCCTGGCACTGAATATGGTCCCTGAGCCCTGCCAGGAATCAAACTTGAAGCCCTGAGCACTTTGGCTGTGGCCAGAAGCAAACAAACAACCCCCGAATGACCAAGGGCTGGAGAGATAGCACAGCCAGGAAGGCTCTTGCCTTGCCAGCTTCTCACCTGCGTTCGATCCCCAACGGAGTGATTCCTGAGTGCAGAGCCAGGAGTGACCCCAGAGCGAGCAGGCCAGGTGTGACCCAACAGCTAAAAGAAAATGGCCAACCTGGTTCAGGAGGGAGCAAAAGATTAAACTGGGGTGTGACTAGGGTCCCGTGTACATGCGGGACCCCTCTTCCCAGCCCTGTGGGGGTCCCCTCCAGGCCTGCACTCCTGCCCTGATGGGCCTCAGAACCTAAAGTCCCAAAGGCAGTGGCAGTACTGTAGTCAGTCACCAGCCAGGACAGTGATGCAGCGACCTCCCAGTCAGCCTCGCGTCTGAGTCCCAGGAAGAAGTGGTGGTCGGCAGTGGCCAGCCCCTGGCTGACCCCAGCCGGCCATGTCCCAGGTTCATGGAACCCTACATTTTTGGGAGCCGCCTGGGGCAGGACATCATCGACCTGGAGCAGACGGCCGCCCACCTGCAGCTGGCCCTGAACTTCACGGCGCATGTGGCCTACCGCCAGGGCATCATCCTGTTCGTGGGCCGCAACCGGCAGTTCAGCCACCTGATCGAGAGGACGGCCCGGGACTGCGGGGAATACGCGCACACGCGCTACTTCAAGGGCGGTCTGCTGACCAACGCGCCCCTGCTCCTGGGCCCGGGGGTGCGCCTGCCTGACCTCATCATCTTCCTCAACACTCTCAACAACGTCTTCGAGTCGCACGTGGCCGTGAGAGACGCAGCCAAGATGAGCATCCCCACGGTGGGCATCGTGGACACCAACTGCAACCCCTGCCTCATCACCTACCCGGTGCCCGGCAACGACGACTCGCCCCCCGCCGTGAGCCTCTTCTGTAGGCTCTTCCGCACCGTCATCCTCCGCGCCAAGGAGAAGCGGAAGCAAGTGGAGGCGCTCTACCGACTGCAGGGTGCCGCGGCCGCCGGGGACTCGGACCCGGCCCCTGGGTCTGCCCACTCTCCTTCCCAATAAATGCCGCCGAGCCTCAGTTGGCACTGCCCCTTCCTCCCCGTCTGGGCCTTCCAGCCGCCCTGCAGCCTTGCGCCTTGGGGTCCGGAAGGGTTCTGAAGATCACCAGGGGGCACAGAGCCAGGCCTGCCCTTGGGGCGTCCTCGTCCCCGGATGGAGAGGTGACGGGTGCTCCCCACTGTGCGGTTTCGGGGGTGTTTGGGAGGGTGAGTTGTGGATGGCCTTCAGGGGGCCGTGGAGACCAGTGCCCCGCATGGGGCTTGCTTCCTTGGGGGCTGATGTGGGTTGGAGTCTGGTCCAGACCGCCAGCTGCTGGCACTTCCCAGACACCCCTAAGTACCGGGGTTCCTGGCCAATCTGCAAGCAAGGCAAAGGGGGATTTGGGGGAGGCTCAACCTAAATGGCTAGCCAGGCTTTACCCTGGTGCGTAGGGCCTTGGCTGGTGCTCACGCCGGCCAGTGCTCATGTGTGGGGCCTTCCAGGAAGGAGGTGCTAGGCGCCTGGTGGTCTCCTGCACCTGCCTGCTGGGGACAGTCGCTGGGAGGGCCAGGTTGGGGGTCCGCTCCGCTTCAACTGTAAGACAGAACTTCCCCCTTCCCTAGTAAACTGCAGCATGCCAGAGTGTGTGTGTGTGTGTGTGCGTGTGTGTGTGTGTGTGTGTGTGCACCATGTGCACTGTGCCAGAGTGTGTGTGTGTACTGTACACACTGTTCCAGAGGGTCCTCAGACTAGTGTGTGTGTCTGTGTCTGTGCCACATGCACCATGCCAGAGTGTGTGTGTGTGTTCGTGTGCACGAGTGGTTTCCTGCCTGCAGCCTCAGCAGTAGAACAGTGCAGGATGCTGACACTCAGGGGACTGAGGTGGTTCCTTCAAGTCCCTTTCAGCAAGGCTTGGGGGCTCTGGTTTGTGTGTCTTCCTGACCAGGGGAGGGGAGCACAGGAAGAGGGAGGTGCAGAGCTTCTGGAAAAGTCTGTGCTCTGGGAGGAAAAGCACCAAGTCCGACCCCCCTGTAACCTAAGCGGGAATAGCTGCATCTTCCTCGCCCCCATGACAGGTGCATTCGCATGGGCGGAGCCGAGTCTGGAAGGTGAGAGGTACTAGAGAGGCGCATGGACTGGAGGGCTTAAAGTCCAGTCTCTGTGCCTCCAGACCCAGGCGGAGTGGACAGGAGTCAGGGCTCACACACCGCCCCATCAATTTAGTTCAAGATCTCGGTTTAGGGACTGGAGCGATGGCACAGTGGGTAAGGTGTTTGCCTTGCACGCGGCCAACCCGGGTTCAATTCCCAGCATCCCATCTGGTCCCCTGAGCACCGCCAGGAGTAATTCCTGAGTGCAGAGCCAGGAGGAACCCCTGTGCATTGCCGGGTGTGGCCCAAAAAAGCAAAAAAAAAAAAAATCTCAGTCTAGGCTGACACTCCTTGGAACCAACTTTGAGGAATAAAATGAGTCCTGCTGGAGACTTCATACATTTGCCTGGCACTCGGCTTACCCAGGTCTGACACCCACACACCCCGTGTGGTCCTCCAGGCACCGCCAGGAGTGTTCCCGGAGCAGAGTCAGGAATAGCCCTTCCTGACTGTCCAGACAGTTAAGCACTTGGCGCCAACATGGCCTGCGAGGTGCAAACGGCTAGAAGAAAGCAGCGGGGCAGGTGGGGGTGAGCGGCCCGGCCCAGGGACAGACCTCCACGCACTGGAGTCCTTGGGCTTGGTGAGTCAGCTCGAAAATTTTAGTGGGAAGGGTCTGGAGCGAAAGGACAAGCAGGAGGTCACTTACCTGCATGCAACTGACCTGGTTCAGTTCCCTGGCATCCCAGAGCATCACTAGCATTGATCTCTGAGCACAGAGCTGGGGGCCCTCAAACAAAGAAAAGGTACACGAAGGGACCAGAATCACCAACTCAATATTGAGAAGGAACAGAGGAGGAAGTCACAAGATTTGGGCCCAGAGGGGGCCGTAGCGATAGCATAGCGGGTAGGGCATTTGACTTCCACACGACTGAACCAGGTTCAATTCCCAGCATCCCATATATTCCCCAAGCACCAACAGGAGTAATTACTAAGTGCAGAGCCAGGAGTAACCCCTGAGCATTGGCAAGTGTGACCCAAAAGGAAAAAGAAAAGATTTTGGGGGGCTGGAGCAATAGCGCAGTGGGTAATAGTGTTTGCCTTGTACGTGGCCGACCCAGGTTTGATTCCCAGCATCTCATACAGTCCCCTGAGCACTGCAGGAGTAATTCCTGAGTGCATGAGCCAGGAATAACCCCTGTGCATCACCGAGTGTGACCCAAAAAGCAAAAACAAAAGATTTGGGGGGCTGGAGCAGTAGTACAGCAGGGAGGGCATTTGCCCTGCATGTGACCAACCCAGGTTTGATGCCCGGCATCACATTTGGTTCTCAGAGCAATTCAGGAGTAATTCCTGAGTGCAGAGCCAGGAGTAACCTCTGAGCATTGCTGGTTGTGGCCTTAAAACCGTAAGCTAATAGTAATTTCAGAACAACAGGATACAGGCAATGTGAACGGCAACAAAAGGTGGATCAGTGGAGTTGACAGATGAGTGGGAGTGACAGGAGCCAGCAGCTGACCCTGCCAGGGAAATTGACTGGAAACAAGCAGCAGACACAGAGATGAGCAGAACTGACAGGAAACCAGCAGCACGGAAACAAACAGATCAACGGAAATGACCAGCCAGGACCCGACACATCCACATCCCCGGAATGCACTGGAACCAGCCCAGGCAGACCACGCTGATGAGCTCCAGGGACTCTCATGCCTGGAGTCATCCCGCGTGATAGCCAGGCGCCCTTTGCGTCCCAGGCGGTGACAGGCGTGCGTGTCACCAGCTCTGTGCCCTCTCCCACAGCAGCTCCCCTGGAGGCCACGGGCGAGTGCCCACCCGTCCTGAGACGTGGCTGTGTGTCTGGGGAGATGGCGCCCTGCCCCTAGCACTGTTCTTTGCTGGATGCTGAGCAGGGGAGCTGTGGGTTCTCTGGGGACAAGGAGTCCCTCACAGGTCACACCGTGGCAGAGCCCAGACCCCAACCAGGCTTAGATCGGGGCACGCTCCTGGACCTAGGAGTGGTTAGAGAGGGCTGGCTTCAGCCAGGGGGGCACTCAACGCCCAGCTCTAGTGGGGACCCGCCTGACTCTGTCCCAGGGTCCCCTGGCCCTCTCTGCTTCTCCCTGCCTGAGATGTCCACCAACATCTGGGCCAGGAATTTCGAACTGGAGGCCCGCCCCCAGGTGTGTGGGGGGACCTGGCCTTGCCAGGTGCACTGCAGCAGCGGGACTCCCATGTCCGGGTGGGTACCCCGAGATTCCGAGCGAGCAGCTGTCATAGTGTGGTTGGGGCACGGCGAGTGAGCTAATTCTCTGCAGCCTTAGCAAGGGGGCGCACACGTGCACACACACTTACAAACACAGCACATTGCACACATGTACACACACTCATGCTCGCAGCTCATGGTCAGGGTGATTCGGATGGGAAAAAAGGAGGCGCTGGAGCCCACAGCCGGGGAGCAAGAGATGCCGGGGGGAGTGTCAGGGGCCCCAAAGTTCCCAGGCCACCCCCAGGCAGCCTGGAAAGGACAGACTCTGGGGTCCTGCATCCCCTTACTCTGGCCACCTGCAAACGGGACGTGCCCCCAACTCCCCATACATCAGGGGGCACAGGCGGCCTGTCCCCAGGGAATCCCTAGCCTGGGGGAGGTGGGGGGAGCCAGACACCGGTGCCGGAAAGAGCCTGCAGCCGCTAGGGGCCGTTCTTGGAGATGCTCCTGCCTCTGGTGCCCCTTGGCAGAGGCTGCGGGTGCCCGGCGGTAGGACGGGGACTACAGGAGGCGGCAGCCCCCCACCCCCGGGGCTGCTCCTCGGGAGCAGAGCCAGGAGCACACCAGTGGGAGCCGTGCCGTCCTCGTTTACAAAGGGGAGCCTGATCGGGGCACGGGAGGGCGCCAAGAGCAGAAGAATCTGGTGGCCCCTGGTCCACCACCTGCAGGCTCTGCGTCTCTGCCCTCCCACACCCCGGGGAGCCACTGCCTCAACTACCCCAAAGTGTGCCTTGCTTTTTGTTTTCTGCTGTCAGTCTGTGGAAATGACTCGGGGCCATGGGGCAGGTGTGGTTGTTTACCGGGAGTCCAGAGATCTGGTGCCAAGTGGCGCCTCCGGGCTGCTCAGGGGAAAGGGCCCCCCGGCTGGTGCCCCCTGGCTGTGGCAAGGGCAGGGGCCACCCCAGGCCCTCATGAGCTCCCTGGCCCAGCCACAAGCAGGAGCAAGCTCACTCCTTCATCTTGCCCTGGGTTCCCTCAGGCCGTGGCCCTCCCAGTCCTAAGGGAAGTTCTGTTGCTTCTCGGTTTCACATCAGACCAGGTGCAACTGTAGAGTGGAGGCTCCAGGCTTGGGGAAGATTCCAAAAAGTTTGCAGGAAGTTCTGAGGACAATCACATTATCTGAGTTGTACAAGGAACCGACTCTCAGCCTCTAAGGGGCCTTCGCCTGTGTGGGAACACAGACCCCTCTCCCTCGGGCCGTGGATCTGTTTAAATTCTAATTTGCTTGCCCAGCCAACAACCCTCTAGAAGCCCCAGCCCCAACCTAGAGCACTCCGCAGGAAGTGCACTCACCCCTGTACCCCGCAGGAAGTGAGTGGTCTCAGGATCCTGCAGCTCAGTGGAGGGACCTGGGCTGTGCCCGTGTCTGAGGAGGCTTAGAGATATCCCCCATGCCCTGATAGAACCTCGGGAGCCCTAGTTCCAGGAACCTTGTCCAGCTTGTCCAGATCCAGGGGCTGGTACCATCTGGCCCCCTATGCCACCATGCCCAGTTCAGGACAGGGGGGTTGGGGGCACTCCTGATTCCAGTGGGGCTCTCAGGAGCACCTGTAAGGCTGTGTCTCTGCCCTTGGGGAACCAGAAGCCCCACATCCCTAGAGACAGTGGTGGTCAGGAAAGGCACAGAGATGGTGGTGAGGGTCCACCAGGACCTCGTCTTAGCTGGTGGTTCCAGGTCAG